TTTTTTTGAACAAGTGCTCCAGTCTATTCGTGGGGAGCAGCACGTGCTGGGAACCGGCCCAGCGTCCCATATCGAATTATACAGATCATTGAGAACATTTGAGGTCATTTGAGATACCGGGGCCATTACCCGGCTTCGACTGAGAACAATCTGTGAACACGATGAGAGTCAGAAACATGGGGAGGATCCTGAGTAGCACGTGCTGTATTTTTTATTTTTTTTTGAACAAGTGCTCCAGTCTATTCGTGGGGAGCATCACGTGCTGGGAACCGGCCCAGCGTCCCATATCGAATTATACAGATCATTGAGAACATTTGAGGTCATTTCAGATACCGGGGCCATTACCCGGCTTCGACTGAGAACAATCTGTGAACACGATGAGAGTCAGAAGCATGGGGAGGATCCTGAGTATCTAATGACCTATTAGGGAATTACTCATGCAATAACCTGCCACAGAGGTCCTACGAATGCTCACTACCCTCAGGTTCCCTGACAAACCCTTCTAAGACTTCCCAACACCGTCTTACTCCCTGCTGAGCTCTTCCAGGCCTCATGCCCCTACCCTGCTGGGTTACAGGGCAACACAACTCGCCCCAGCTCGGACCAGCGTCATCCCAGCAGCAACCCTTGGTCGTCCCTTGGGATCCCCACCCCAAAGCATCCCCACATCTCTCTACCAGGCCGGTGAGGTTGCTTGCCTACTGTTCTGATCTTGCGAACCATGTGGTGGAGGAGGTCGGCTCGTCGGGAGATGATGAAGAGTAGGGGGGTTGTAGGGAAGAAGGAGGATCTGTATATTTCCAGTGCTAGTAACCCGAAATTTGGACTGCACTGATGCTTGGTGGTTCTCGCTTGATACTGTGCTAATTATCACTTCACTCTTAGGCTTTCGAATGGCCGAGCTGGATCGGTGCTGGTCAGAGCTGCGGGTCTGGTCGTGCTGCCCTGTAACTCGATCGTGACGAAGGCTCTGGAGGCCTGGTAAAGGTCTGGGGAATCGTCAAGGGGGGGAGGCGGTTCAGGGGCTGTTTGGGGCTGTTATCAAGATGACGCTGGTTGGAGCGGGGGTGGGTCGTTCCACCCTGTAGCCTAACAGATGGGAGTGTTCTGAGGCAGGTCGTGCTGTCTTGTAACCTAGCAGTTGGGGGTGTGAGGCCTTGAAGAGTCTTGATGACGAGGATGGGTGGTTGAAAGTTGAAACAGATTGAGGTTCGGACAGCTGAGCGTCATTCATCCTGGTTTGGGTTGTGATGGCTCTTTTTAGGGCCTTTTGAGTTTAGTTTGTCCTTTGAGCTTATGCCTGACTGGGTAGGTCAGTTATACTTGTATTCTGACTCGAATTTTCTGTATATTTTAGCTACCATTCCTAGCCGAAGCCGGCTAATGGCCCCAGTCTCTCTTTTTTTTTTTTTTTTTTTTTTTTTTTGCAAGGCCCTTATACAAGGCCTCTATCCTGGTGGTG